GAAAGGCCTCAAACATCGGGCAAGCCTTTAACCTACCCAACTCCTAACTATAAACGACCCTTTTGCTGCTCTTGTAGGGATCGATCAGCTAGAGCACCAAGCCATCGCTTCTTTATGCTTAGCACATCTAGCCATTAGATTTAATTTGATGTTGTTACATGATCAGAGGTAAAACCCTTCATTTTGACTTCCGTCTCAGCTCTAGAAGGCCGCGCGTCGGTCTCTGTATGCTTGAGTTAGCTCCATCACCTTTCAACACTGCACAAACAACTTCCTACCCTAACTAATAAGGCACCATAAAGAAATAGGGCAGCTCATCTATCTGATGGTGTTACGTCCATGAAATGCAAGCCTGTTTTTTTATAAAGGGCATTTTTATTGACTCATAATGCAGCATCGAGGAATACAATCATAATAAGCATACACCTGGCCTCTGCATACTAACTACGATGCACACACACACACACACACACAATCACGCCAGCAGAAGCAAAGCCATACTAGACCGAAGCTATGCCTTAGTAGAGGAAGAAAAAGAAAAGGAAAACCAAAGCAAAGAAAACAACAGTTGGTGATATACAACAGTGACCATTAGCACCAACCATCTCTTGATAGTATAAAGACTACGAAAAAGGTTCTGGAAAAGCAACGCCTTCAAGAAGGGAGCGACGCACAAGTGCCGCCATTGCCGGATCCAACCACGAAAGGACATATCATGGATTTTCACCTCGAAGATCAAGTCAATGTAAATTCTAAGCAATGCCTTCATCAGGATAACGGCACAAAGAACACCGTCATTGCGAGGTATAACCAAGTAGGATCAAACATAGGATTTTCACCCTGGAGACCAAGACCAAGTAATCGAGAAGCATCACCCAATGTTAATTAATATCTCGAGCTTTCCTATTACATTGGTTGGGACTGTAACATTTTCTAAATTTAGTCCTCTACATATGTCGATGCTCAGTAATTATTTTTGTAGATCAATTTTTTCTGCTAGGGTACACAATAGTTTAACAAAACGAATCTAATATTTGTGACACAGAAAACATGCTCAAGTGTTTTTTGTGTGTAAAGTCACTACAATGGATTTAGCACAATTTTTCTTGAGTGAACGGATCTAGCACAATTATTTCTTTATTATGTTTCCAAACACATTTAGTGGTTGTCCAACCGGATGCGACATGTCATGCTGACTGTTGCCACCAAGTAAAAAAAATTGTCCAATAGTTAACTATGGTTCTATTCAAAATGGTTTTGTGCTGATCTGGCTTCGAAATTGTCACTTAATTTGCTAGAAGATATATGGTTCTTAGTGTAATTTTTTTAGGAAACTACGGTGGGAAAAAACATCATGAACCAATTTTAATCCAGGAACAAGTCTTTTCAAAAGGTGGTTTTGCTATCCCACACTAGCTATTTGATAACCCGCAAGTATAGGAGATCGCAACAGTTTTCGAGGGTAGAGTATTCAACCCAAATTTATTGATTTGACACAAGGAGAGCCAAAGAATATTCTCAAGTATTAGCAGCTGAGTTGTCAATTCAACCACACCTGGAAACTTAATATCTGCAGCAAAGTGTTTAGTAGCAAAGTAATATGATAGTGGTGATAACGATAACAAAAGGTAACGGTAGTAAAAGCAATGTTTTTGGTATTTTGTAGTGATGATAGCAATAGCAACAGGAAAGTAAATAAGCGAAGAACAATATATGGAAAGGTTGTAGGCAATGGATTGGTGATGTAGAATTATGCCGGATGCGGTTCATCATGTAACAGTCATAACCTAGGGTGACACAGAACTAACTCCAGTTCATTGATATGATGTAGGCATGTATTCCGAATATAGTCATACGTACTTATGGAAAAGAACTTGCATGACATCTTTTGTCCTACCCTCCCGTGGCAGCGGGGTCCTTACGGAAACTAAGGGATATTAAGGCCTTCTTTTAATAGAGAACTGGAACAAAGCATTAACACATAGTGAATACATGAACTCCTCAAACTACGATCATCACCGGTAAGTATCCCGATTATTGTCACTTCGGGGTTAACAGATCATAACACATAATAGGTGACTATAGACTTGCAAGATAGGATCAAGAACACTCATATATTGATGAAAACATAATAGGTTCAGATCTGAACTCATGACGCTCGGGCCCTAGTGACAAGCATTAAGCATAGCAAAGTCATAGCAACATCAATCTCAGAACATAGTGGACACTTGGGATCAAACCCTAACAAAACTAACTCGATTACATGATAGATCTCATCCAACCCATCACCGTCCAGCAAGCCTACGATGGAATTACTCACGCACGGCGGTGATCATCATGAAATTGGTGATGGAGGATGGTTGATGATGACGATAGCGACGGATTCCCCTCTCCGGAGCTCCGAACGGACTCCAGATCAGCCCTCCCGAGAGGTTTTAGGGCTTGGCGGTGGCTCCGTATCGTAAAACGCGATGATTTCTTCTCCCTGATTTTTTTCTCCCCGAAACACAATATATGAAGTTGGAGTTGGAGTCGGAGAGTCAACAGGGGGCCCACGAGGTAGGGTGGTGGGCCCCCTGACCTTCATCTTTTACAGGTATTTTTCTTATTTTCTGAAAGTGGCTCCGTGAAGTTTCAGGTCATTCCAAGAACGTTTGCTCCTGCACATAAATAACACCATGGTAATTCTGCTAAAATCAGCGTCGGTCCGGGTTAGTTCCATTCAAATCATGCAAGTTAGAGTCTAAAATAAGGGCAAAAGTGTTTGGAAAAGTAGATACGTTGAAGACGTATCACTATTTAATCTAAATAACTTCATAAAACCATTGCCTACAAATATATTTACATAAAATTGTATGGAAGGCGTATACATTGTTGAAAACGTCGAGTTTCAGCTAGTTCTCTACAAAAACTTTCCACCTCTGTACATGAACCCTCCTTCTCTTCATATGAAAAGATAGTGAGAGGGGGACGATATAACTAACTCCTTCCCAATTGGAAGAAGCCCTCGAGCTGTTCCTAGGGAGCGGCTTGGGCAGAACCTACCCCTAGTCACCCCCTCCCCCCCTGCCCGTTGGTGCCCCTCTCCTCGCCGCCGTTGGCTAGCGCCTCCAGGCAAAGCCCGCTGGTGGTAGGCAGCAGCGGGATCTGCCCCCCTCCCATAGTACGTTGTTACCTTGTTGAAGGCATTGGTATGCTCAGACTGATTCTTCAAGGTGAAAACCTAGATTCTGGCCTTGTGGTTGGATCTGGTGACGGTGACACTTGAGTGTCGCTCCCTTCTTGAAGGCGTTGTTGTTGAATAACCTCTCGTCCATATGGTGTCATTAGATGGTTTATGCGGATATGGCCAATATTGTACTTTGCTGGCCGCAGATCTGATTGTTTTGATTTTTTTTTCTCGCCTACGCAAAGTTGTGGTCTTTTATGACTTTGCTAGTTGTCGTCTGTTTTTGTATGTGTGAGTTGGTGTTGTTGTGTGCATCCTAGCTATGTAGAGGCCGGATATGTGCTCATTGTGTTATGTATCTTCTTGATGCTTCATTTTGAGCCAATAAAATTCAGTTTTTATCGAGAAAAATGAAAAGATAGTTTTCTTGCCAGTTCTTTGAAATTTTTTTGAAAATGAAATCTACTAGCTTTTTACGACACCTTAGGTCCATTCGAGTGTATTAGCTAACATAGGATGTGTAAGCCAGTATAACAATTCATTTCATTGAAGCATCTATTATTAAACTCCAACCGTAAACAAATTTATCTAATAAGCACCACAGTCATTGCGACAAAATTGTTTCGGTTGTCTGTCATCGTAGTGGGAACATCTTAACTGATAAGGAGCACGAGTCACATTAAATCAGCAATGAACAACCTTCAACTTCACTGACCAATATATTGGAAGAAGCACAATGAACACACAAACAAATCAATGCATGTTTTATCATCCCATCTACACCTCTATGATGGATCTAACACTATGCAAAACTATCATACACAACACATTTGTTTCAGCCGGAAGGAGGAATCTACAAACGGTAGTTGTCCTCCAGTATGTCCTTCCAAAAAGAATCACTCTCCAGAGAGCACATATCAGGCAAAGCCCGCCGGTGGTTGGCGGCGGCGGGATCTGCTCCCCTCCCGTAGTACGTTCATACCTTGTTGAAGGCATTGCTTGAATATGCTCAGATTGATTCTTCAGGGCGAAAACCTAGATTCTGGCCTTGTGGTTGGATCTGGTGACGACGGCGCTTGAGTGTCGCTCCCTTCTTGAAGGTGTTGTTGTTGAATGACGTTGTCGTCCATTTGGTGTCATCATATGGTTTATGCGGATATGGCCATTATTGTAGTTTGCCGACCGCAGATCTGACTGTTTTGGTTTGTTTTCTTGCCTACGCAAAGTTGTGGTCTTTTATGACTTTGTTAGTTGTCGTCCGGTTTTTGCATGTGTGAGTTGGCGTTGCTGTGTGTACCCTAACTATGCAGAGGCCGAGTATATCCTCATTATGTTATGTATTTTTTTTATGCTTCATTTTGAGCCAATAAAATTCATCTTTGGTTGAGAAAAAATGAAAAGATAGTTTTCCTGCCGGTTCCTTCAAGAAACATTGAAAATGAAATCTACTAGCTTTTTAGGACACCTTAGGTCCATTCGTTTATTAGCTAACATGGGATGTGTAAGCCAGTATAATATTTCATTGAAGCATCTATTACTAAGCTCCAACCTTAACCAAATTCTATCTAATAAGCACCACAGTCATTGCGACAAAATTGTTTCGGTTGTCTGCCATCTTATTGGCAACATCTTAACTGATAAGGAGCACTGAGTCACATTAAATCAGCAATGGACAACCTTCAACTTCACTGACCAATATACTGGAAGAAGCACAATGAACACACAAACAAATCAATGCATGTTTTATCATCCCATCTACACCTCTATGATGGATCTAACGCTGTACAAAACTATTATACACAACACACTTGTTTCAGCCGGAAGGAGGAATCTACAAACGGTAGCTGTCCTCCGGTATGTCCTTCCAGAAAGAATCACTCTCTAGAGAGCACAGATCGGGCAGCTCCATCATGGGCTCCAGCAAGCCACCGAACTCCTGCGCGGGCGACCAGTTACCCACGGGTGCAACATCATGCGATGCAAATGAAGTTGCAGTACAGCAGAGCTGGTCAGCCTGTTTAGCTGCTGCAAAGGAGCTCGTTCCCGGAGACGTGTCGTTGGTCAGCTGCTGTTGCGGCACGTGCTGCTCTGCAAAATTGGAGGTGTTGCAGAGGTAACCCGGCTGCAGGCAGTTCATCTGGTCCTGCTCCTGCAAGAGGTTCGGAACCATGCTACCGCTTGAGTTTAGCATTGCGTTTGCTGCAGCTAGGTTGGCGATGAGGCCGCTGGCGCCATTGTTGGATCCGATGACCTGGAGGAGCTGTTGTAGAAGTTGCGCCTGCATAAGGGCGCCGGTGTCCAAGCTGCCGAGGCTTGTAGCCGCCGAAGCCCAGAGGAGCGCCCCGGGGTGGTGGGCGATGGAGGTGGCGTTGAGGTGGTGGTGACTCTGACCGGGTGGCAGCTGCTGATGCGTGACTGGGTCGACGCCCATGCGTAGGAGCTTCTTGCGGATGTGCGTGTTCCAGTAGTTCTTGATCTCGTTATCCGTCCGGCCCTCCAGGTGCGTCGCGATCGTTGCCCACCTAATATCCACCGAAAAATTATCCATGCATGTCAGTGTCGCTTCAAGACTAACAACTATTATACAAAAGCCAACGGTGAAGAAATTGACAGTGCATGGCGGCTAAGCTGTTGTGCGAGTGATGGTGTGTGGAGTAGTTGGATTAATTTGGACGTGGACTAGGTACGTACTTGTTGCCAAGGCCGGCGTGTAGGGTGATGATGAGGCGCTCCTCTTCGTCAGTGAAGTTGCCACGCTTGATGTCGGGGCGGAGGTAGTTGGTCCAGCGGAGGCGGCAGCTCTTGCCGCAGCGGTTGAGGCCGGCGGCCTTGGGCAGGCGGCGCCAGCTGCCGACGTTCCCGCCGCGCTTCTGGATGTGCTCCACCAGCGTCTTGTCTTCCTCCTCCGTCCATGGCCCCTTCTTCACGTCGGCGTCGCGGCAGCAGCACGGCGACCTCCCCATCAGATCGATTTTCTCGATACAAGCTCTGCTAGCTAGTTACCTAGGATCGACTGGTGGCTGTGATGGAGGATGTAGTAGCCAGAAGTCAGAACTCAGAAACTATGTTCGTGTCTTCCCTTGGCCACGTATATATAGAGGAGTAGAGGACACGGCCAGTCCATGGTCGTACTCCATGACAGATTGACAGGGCACGAGCGAGAGGTGCCGCGGAAGCTACGAATTTTCCTTCCATTCTGCCATCGTGGCGACTAGTGTTGCACAGTTTGTCTATGTCGGATACTGTAAACAAAAGGCGTGTGTACGATGTAAGTCAAGGAGGGCAGTTGTCCGGAGATCTGGCCACGTAAGATCAGATATATCCTGCATGCGCTGCATGTCGCAAGGCACGCAACAAGGAAGAATAAAGTGAACACTCCCAACAAGTGGCAGGCTGCTGTATAGAAAATTCGTTATGAGAGCGCTCTGTGTAGTGTAGCACCTGTAATTCAGGATCTGGTTAAGCACGTCAGGTAGTGGCAGGGACGAGTGAGGAACCTTCCTCGTCTCCTTCCTTGGAGATGCTGATCGACACGCTGATCTCACCGCTGAATAATGTTTCAAATTACGTTACGTCCATGTTTTCTTTACCTACGATTCAGGAAAATAATAGCCTACGATTACCATCCTACTACTATACTATAGTATTTTCTTTACCTATCCTGCTGGCGGCTTGATCGAGGTTTCGCCAGATGATTTGGGTCGTGAATTCGGTGAAGAATCCGATTAAAATACTCGTGGAAAACCACTGCCGAAAGTTAGGCATGCGTTCAATGAAACATGACTGGATGTTTTTGGAGGCACCGTGGCTCTTGTAGCTCCTGTGGAGCTGCTTCTGAATCTGGGTGCTCATCACCGTATTGCCAAGTCAGGACTCGGGACCGTTGCTCACGCCCACCAGCCATTTCTCCCCGTGGAAAACCACGTTGCCTTCCCGTTCAGGTTCAGACCGCCACCTGATCCACTAGAAAGAGCATGCGTGAGGCAGCTGAGTAGCCGAGCCGTGCGCTCGTACTTGGCCACGCTGGCCGTCTACTAGTTATCTGCCATGGTCGTCTTTGATCATTGGTGCCGAAAATCTGTGTACATTATGACCGTTCAACCTGAGCACCCCCGGGTCGCCTCGTCTTGTACGACCATCTCCACATGGCAGCAGCACTGAGCGAGACGAGTCTCGTGCGAATGGAGGAAGGTGAGACGTACCGGACGGCCATGTCGAAATTATGGGCCAGTAAATGAGCATGTGTGTATGAATTGATGATCTTCCTTTATGGATGAAATTGACAAGGCTGAAGCTCCGCCAACGAAGATGGATCTCTTGGAAGATGGAGCATTAGATGGCACACACCGCTGACCACATGAATTGCATTCACCACTTTCAGTCATAAGCTAATGCTGAGCTTCACAACAAGCTAGAGCTTCGAGGGTGTCCGGGTCAGATATACCTTACGTGGAAAGACAATCGCTGGCGCGCCCATGAATATGCCATCTTTGCTTCAACATGCTGCAGCTACAGCTCCACGACAGCCTACTTTGGCAATAACCCCATCAACACTGATTTTCATACTTCCAGATGGCTGGGGGGGATCAACCGAGTGGCCAGCTCAATTGTAGATTGGGTACGATTACTCGTCGGTGAATGCACAATCCGTAGGTCAGAGAGAAGCTAGTAATGAAAACATCCACAGGGGGCTTTGGAAGATTTTCTCGTCAGCTTTTCGTCTGGCTATCAAAAATGCCTAGAGAGTGACCGCCACTTTCACAAGCACCTATCTCTCCCTCTTGAAGATCCACACCCTGGTACCACCCTCTTGAAGATCTACACCATGGTACCACGTTACCTTTTTTTGAGACTGCCTGATACACTGTCCCCAAAATGTTAAGAATCTGGCAGAGTAAAGTTAGTGGAGGAAAATTTTACTCCACTAAAGTATAGCCGATCCTCCATATACTTAGTGGAGTAAAAATAAAATTATGTATATTTTGTGTCCTAGCCGCTTGACTTCAAACAATATACAATATATATCTTAAAAACATTCAAATTAAAACATGCATAACATAATCGTCATAAACATAAAGTTTCATCATCGTGTTTTTTAATTAAAACATGCATAGTTCATCCAAAAGGCATCACTTCAAACACAAATGTTTTATTCAAAATCACCACGAGTATAGCATGTATATGTTGTGGATCGAGCCAACCATTGGCATGTACGAACTCAAACGAGGTGGTCTCCGAAGAAAACATCACCGCCGCCACCACCACCATCCTCTCGGCCACCATCACCTCCATCTCGCGGCTGCTGACACCATCACCACCATCCTCTCGGCCGCCGCCGCCGGCACCACCACCACCTCCTCGGCCACCACCACCATTATGAAGAGAGGATTTCGCTTGGGTCAAGATCTCCCCACAAGTGAGCTCCCAATACTTTCTTGCAGTTTCATCCATTGTGTTTGGATTCATGAACATGATAGCATGTTCTTCGGCCTTCTTGTCATCACAGATCCTCTCCTCCTCAAGTGCAAGTCTATGCTCCTCCGCCTTCAACTTCCTTTCTTCGGCAGTCAACTTGGCCTTCCATTAATTTCTCATCCTCCAACAACTTGAGCTCATTCCACCTCGCCATCTTCTCTTTTTTTCGTTCGGCCGCCAACAACTTCTTGGCCTCAATCGTGGCCACAAGTTGTCCTCCTCAACCTCGTCGGCCACCGTTCGAATGCATTCCTCTTCTTCTTTTTGTGAATTTTTTTCCCATCTGGTCTATTATTGGCCTCTTCATCAACCTTGTCATTCTCCTCAACGAATATGCTCAACCTTGATCTCTTAGTCTCCGTAATTCTTTGGATCCACTTCTCATTCTTGCATAGCTCTTTTGTAGCAATGATGCAACGAGAGGGTTTGTGGCCGAACCTCGTGTTCCTATGCTTGGATATTTCTTGGATGTAGGGGCCATACTCCGCCACTTGCACACCGCTCGGTGGTGCATGATTCACTTGGTCGATGCAACCAAACAATCGGTTACAATGGTCATGAATGGTGCTCCAACGATGCCCAAGAGATCCTTGCATACGGCTTGAGCGCACCTCCACGGAGTTGTTGTAGTATTCCCTGATTCTCACCCAAAACATAGTCTTCGTTTGATTCGTTCCAATTGTAGTTGGCGGTGCGTGACCTTGACAACCGCATGCTTGCTTCGGTCACCTCCACAACTTCCTCCTCTTCCTCGGCCACCTCCTCTTCTTCGGCTGCCTCTGAATCATTACAAATGGAGTCATAATTGAGCTCATCAAGCCCCACCGTTGCCTAGGACTCCAAAGATGCTAAAAATTCGGCTGTGTTCATCTCCGCACTATGACAACAAAACGAGCAAACTACATCGCGATCGGCTACCAACAACAATCACCGACCAGCCAAAATGTTGAAGTTTTTTTACCTTGTAGGCCTTTCGTCGTACACTTGGCAGCCGCGACCTTTCTTACCGGCTGACGTCGCCGGACGCGTCGGAGTAGTGCTTGTAGGTGTCACTAGAGACGATGCACGAGGCACTGGCCATGGGCGGGGCACCATTGTGGCCTTTTTCTTCTTCCTCTTCTCGGACTCCGGCGAGGGCCGATGCCGCAACCGTCGGTTTTCCTGCTTGTTTCGCAGCGGCCGGAGGGCAGCACGCCGTCGCCACCCCGGCGGCCTTTGCCACGGTTGGAGCTGGAGCTTGAACCCGGTGGATTTTTTATCCCCAAGCTCTTCTTCGGCGTGGGCAGCGGCGCGGGGGTCACTTTCGGTGGCGACAAGCTAGCGACAGTGGCGGCGGGGTCCTGGGTATCCTTTACAGCGGGTGGTATGGTCATCGATGGCAGCGGCGGGTCGTGGAGGCGGATGCGGTGGGAAGGAGGAGGCGGGAGAGAAGAGGAGCCACTTTTCCTCAGCCGATCGCACGGTGAGGATATTTAGGAAGAATGGGGGAGGATTCTTTTGGCACTGGAGAATGATTTATCCTCCAGTAACTATTTTAGAGGATCGGCTAGGTGCAGCGTATGGGAAGATAACTGAATTTATCCTCCCTTAGGGCATCTTGTAACCGGACTGTTGTATACGGCCAGAGCTATATATAGCCATTTTCAATATGGGAGTTCCATCTCGCCTGTGGTTGGCGCTCTATTGGCCGCCCCTTCACTGAAGGATGATTTTTTTTTTCTGTTTGCAGGGTTTTTTCGGTTTTCCTCGGGGTTTTTTTGTTTGTTTTCCTTTTTTCCTTCGTTCATCTTCGGTTTCCTTTGTTTTTTCGTCTATATTTTTCATTTTTCTTTGGTTTTATTTTTACCTTTCTTGGTTGTCTTCAATATTCTTTGTTTCTTTCTCGGTTTTTTACATTTTGCTTTGTTCTTTCTTTGTTTTCTTCATTTCCTTTTTTTGCTTAAAAAATTTCCATTAAATGCCTACCATTTTCATACATATAGTATATTTTTTGTATACAACACGAAC